ATTTACCTTTGCCTTAACCCAGAGGAATTGTGGCCAATTGTAACTTTCCCAAAGCCATTGCAGCTGAGATCAGCGGTGTCCCTGGAGGAACCCCAACCTAAGTCTTTGTCGGATTCAGGAAGAGTTCAAGCAATAGAAGGCTGTTGATGCAGGAACAAACTGCAATTGTGCCTTGGTGGTGGAAACTGAAGAAAGAAAACACCTTTTCACATTGGGAGGAAACCGTGAACAAAGAGGAGAGGAAAAAGTGAGTAGAAACAGATGAACAAATGGAGACAAGAGAAAAGGAGAGACAGAGGGAGTGGCAAACTGAGTGAGAGAGAGAGAGAGAAAGTAGGGAAAATGGAAAGGCAACTGGACCTCAAAACTAACTGTTCATAATAATCAGAGTAATGTTAACAATCATGCTTTAACTGTTTGCAAGCATGAGGAAACTTACTTTTGCCCATCCATTACAGCATGATGTCTCAGAGGTCACTGTCACTCAAACATTGCAGAAATGGTTGTAAATAAATCTATTTCCCAACACCTGCTACCCCTCCCCAGCCACAAATTTTTTCCAGTTTTACTCCTCTCAGGGCAAGTGCTGTATAAGTGCAATTTATTTGTCTCTAATGAAGAGATGCGTACCAAAGGAAGTGAATCACTTTGCCCAGAATCATTAAAAAAAGTGCTGAACTTTTTTAAGTAACTAGGGAGCAGTGAAATACTTCCTCCGTCAGCATGTCACACATCATACTGGCAGAACAGAATCTGCACATGGCACTGTGAAGAAGTTGTTGTGAGGTGGAGTTTCCTGAGATTACAGCCATTTCCAAAACCGCTCTCTCGTTCATCCATCTGCCTGTGGTGGGAATACAGGGTGAATGAAGCAGGTCAAAAGAGAACTGGCAAATTTATTTAAGTATAGGTAAGTGTGAGGTAGTGAACATTAGTAAATGTGTAAAGTTAGAGTCAAAATGAGAGGAGCAAAGAGCTCTAGGGATACAGATGCACACATCACTAAAAATAACAATGCAGGTTAATGAGGTCAGAGCACTGAGATTAATTTCTAGAGGGATAGAATTGATTGGAAAGATATTGTGTTATTTTAAACTTGTGTACAACTTAGATTAGACCTCTGTTGGAGTACTGTACATAGTTCTGACCTTTATAGGTAAACACTCCCAAATCTAGCTACCCCAAAACCAGCATTTTCTGAAGTGCAGGCTTTTTTTTTTAATTGATTTTTTTTCTCATTTTAACCAGATTGTACTGACATAATGAAGTGGGAAGGCATGAAAGAGATATTAAATCCGATGCATGAGAGGTGAATTAATATCACCAGGCGCATGATATTAACTTAAAGTGCTTGGCAGTCATATCAGTTGGTTTCCCTGCAGCCTGTACTTACCATATTAAAGTGTTCCAATCTGAACCAGTGCATTCCAGTTTATCATCTCTCTGAAGACTGGCATGTTCCAAAGACTGGCACAGACTGAGTCCCAAGGTTGCTAAATTTGGTAGTGTGTACCAGTATTATGAAAAGGCTCTGAATGTGGCAAAATTATTTCCAAGGCTGACTTAAGAACTCTGGTCACATAATTACAAGAAAAAGTTGGGCTTATTTTACCAAAGAGTAAGCAGACAGCTGAAGATTGACCTGATAGAAGGCTTTAAAATTACAAGTAGGGTTTGGTGGGATAATTATAAATGTATGCTTCCTATATGGGGAGGTGGTGACCAAGTGGTATTAATACTAGACTGTTAATCCAGAGACCCAAGCAATGTTCTGGGGACCTAGATTTGAATCTCACCATTGCTGATGGCGGAATTTGAATTCAATAAAAATCTAGAATTAAGAGTCTAATGATGACCATGAAACATTGTTGATTGTCAGGAAAAAAAACCCATCTCGTTCTCTAATGTCCTTCCTTTAGGGAAGGAAACTGCCATCCTTACCTGGTCTGGACTATATGTGACTCCAGACCGACAGCAATGTGCCCTCTAGAATTCAGGAGTAACTACTTTACCCTGAGAGAATATGGAGTACCAGGTGAAGTAATTGTGACAAACCTCCCCGATGCATTAAAACGGAACTAGATAAGGGAGAAAGCTGTATAACAATATATGGATAATGGATGAAGTACAATCTTATGTGGAGTATAAACATTGGCATAGGTTGTTTGCATGGTCTGTATCTACATGGTAAAGTTCTACATTAAAAAATACTAAAGCATCATTCATTTCGTTATTGTTTGGAATCTTGCTGTCTGCAAAATTGGCTGCATAAGATTAATAACTACATAACAAAGTGACTAATTAAAGTACTTTGACAATTTTTTGAACAAATGCAAATCCTCCCTAGTGGGAGCAGTGTTGTCCTGGTAACATAATCTTTTTATCTTTTTACCAAGCCTCTGGAAACATGGATGGATAATAACAAGTTTAATGTTGCACTAAAAAATGTTGCCAACTGCATTTGTGACAAAATCCTTTACATTTAAATTAAATTATTTTTTGAGTGCCTTCAACAGCCTACAGACATAAGATCATAAGAAACTGGAGCAATAGTGAGCCATTTAGCCCTCAAGCTCTCATCACCGTTCAATAAAATGATGCCTGAATGGATTGTGGCCTTAAATCCACTTTCCTGCTATCCCACACAACCCTTACCTCCACTGCAGAATAAAAATCTGTCTAACTCAGCCTTGAATTTATTCAATTACCCAGTTTCCAGCGCTCTGCGGGGAAGAGAATTCCAGAGACAACTCAGAAAAA